CTATCATATGTACATTTTAAGAGGCTATCAAAAGAGGTGATTTGTATGTTTTTTTAGAGCAACGATTTTACGCGATCATAAAGCCAAACCTAAATCGATTTTGATAATTCTTTTTTAAATAAATTTACGTGTATGTACTGCCTGAAATTGTTGTTTTTCTTTACGAAGCAAACCATTTGATATTAAGTAAAATCTACTAGATAGACGATTATATAGGTATGTTCTAAATACAAATATTTTTAATCTAATGTCTACAATATCTGTCGTGCATGGTAATCACATCTGAAGTCTGTTTTCTATTATATGTTTATGAGTAAAGTTAATTTATAATTTTATAGTACTGGGCCCATAACCGATGAAAGCCTAACAGGAAAGTCACGCAGACCTGTCTGCGGTGAACTCCGGCTGTATCGGCACGCGCGCACAATCAGTGCGATCGTGCGGAAATCGCTGCGATCTACACGGCCGCGATAATAATTTAGTTGACAAGAGAGTTTGTCGACGAGATATGTGGCGTTTAATACATTATTAATTGATACAGGTAATATTGGATATCTATATATTGAGTTTTTCTGAACATAGATGAGCACCCAGTGCGATATTGCTCATACCAGTCGGACCTATATTCATTACGAGCAGGTTCTTGTTTTCGATATTAATTATCATTGGATAGTTAATATATCTGTCATTGGGCTAATATATGTATAGATATTGTAACTACAATATACATATAGATATTACTATTATATTACCCACCATTAATTACTAAGTATACAATAGATATATACATTGACAATTTATTAATACGTAACGATTATGTCTCGAGCAATCAAAATATTAGCGGTAATAGTTATGTATAAAATAAAAAGAATTTGTGTTTCGGTTTGAAGGGTGGGATATGGCGTGAATTTATTGGGTACAGAGGAATAACATCTGAGTCCTCAGGAATGGCAACGCATGGGCGATCATGGGTGAAACAGTATATTCTGTTATGCCTATGGTACTGCTCATGTCTATAGGCGACGGTTACCACTTTCTATCAGGTGGGTCGTCAGCTTGTTTGCCATTCTAAGTTGTATAAAAAAAAAAAAAATATAACAGATAAAAAAAGGTTAAGTTTTTAAATATTTTACCATTGACACAATAAAAAGAATCTACTTATATTTGTCGTAATTACCTACTACTGCATAAAAAACACTGTGGCTTATAAATGCGATTTTTATGTCATCGAAACCTGCTTGTGACCTTCTAAACCTCCTATTACCAGCAACATTAATTGTTTTTTTTTTTTTTTTTTCCTTTTTGTTGTTTTAATTTCTTAGTAATGGTAATAAATGTCATCTATCTATCTATCTATCTATCTAAACCGGACTTTCGATTGATTATTTCGCTGCAGACGAGGCGACAAGGAAAAATAATCATTACATATATCGATGTCATGTGAGAGAGAGATGTCGAGAGAGATGTCGAGAGAGAGAGAGAGAGAGAGAGAGAGAGAGAGAGAGAGAGCTCAAACCACTAAATTATTAAAAATGAGACAATGGTCCCAAAATAATTTTTGAACTTTGACAATGTCGTGGGTTTAGTTCTTTCTGCCTAAGTACATATAACTGTCGAAGGCCTTAATCTATTCTTGATGATTTTATAATATTCATTTTAAATCAATAGTCTGAATGGTAATTAAATAATTATAATTTTTATATCATCATATTTGTAAAACTTTGTATTTTCTCATGTCGAATTGTATTTCTTTGACAAAATAAATATCTTAAAGCACATTAAAAAAAAAAAAAAAAAAAAAAAAAAAAAAAAAAAAAAAAAAAAAAAAAAAAAAAAAAAAAAAAAAATTCATCATGAAGTAGTTATGTATTCTATCACAGATGATATAATATATTTTTACATTTATAATAAAATATTAGTAATATTATAAATGTGAAAATGAGTTTATTTGTTTGTTACCCATCACTATGACGCTTAAACCATTCAACTAATCCTCATGAAATTTAGTATACAATACTATTTAGGACGTAAAAAAAACAAGATTTTTACTTTTTTTATATGTTGATTTACTGCAGTCAATCAACATATTTCGGTAACGTGGACGAAGTCGTGGGTAAATGCTAATATTTATATAATTAAAAGTCCATAATATAACGCAGGTCTACTTCTTTGGCGGCCGCAACGTTACTCAAATTACACTGTATGACAATGATTAATTAACCATGACTGTGTTCACATGCAATTTCATGTTCCAAATTAAAACATTTTTAATCTACATGTTCTAAATTTAAATTAAAATATTTTCTATATGTGTGCTCTATATTCAAACATTTAAAAAAATTGTGACTAAACAATGTTGCCGTGTGGTCCCGACATGGAATGGGCCACCCCTTCTTTATCCGTGGGCCGTGGGTGTTGTAACAGGCGACTTAGGGAACTTAACCCTTTCCACTCCAAAATCAATGTCGAGTGTCAATCAATGTCGAGTGACACTCGACACTGATTTTGTACCATATCAAAAGGGATTATAAAGATTAGAATTAAGAATTATAATATAGTATCCTGTAATTACTCATAAAGTTTATCATAGAAGAAAAAATCAATTTTATTTACTATCATTATATTAATATAATTTAAGTCGACTTGTCAAGTCGAATTGTCGATCCAACATCCAATTTTATCACACTGTATCCAATACAATCATTACTAGATGTGAAAAAAAGATAACGTGAAATAAATAAATAAAAAAAAATCATATTGTTTTTAATGCGACGCGGGTGGTAATATTTTTTTTTAATTACATCATTTGGAACACATGCGTGGGAGTATTATAACGCCACCCATTAGCCTATGCGTACGCGCTCCCCTAATGGAAATTGAAGTAATCCAACGGCTCAAGTTTAATGATCTTGACGATATCTAATGATTTCAATATGGTTGCACAGAATCTATTCAATAATGTTTTTATTGAGTATGGTCGGAACACGTAGTATGTTCCAACCATACTTGTTAACTACTATATTAGAATTTATGTAATATTTATAACTGAATTTGGTTTTATAACAAAAAATATAGAGCATATTCGTTTTTAAAAGGCTGGCAGCACTTGACTTTGGCGACACGATGACTTTGGTGTCGCAGGTGATCATTGGCGGCGGTGGTCACTTGCCATTAGGTAAGCAGCATGCTCGTTTGCCCTCTGTGTTATAAAAAAAGATCAAGAGGATCGGCGGTGGACAGGTAAACCCTATGACAGCAAAAATAATTATAAAAATTCATTTAAAACTAATCTAAATTTTGTGTAAGATACACAAAATAATTGAATATCTCTTTCTCATTGGCAGTCGTTTACAACTAGAGAAGTATGAACAAGAATTCGTTCACTTGATTTAAAGTCACCTTAATATCTTTTTATCGGCCTATGATTTGGCGCTTCGACTTACTGATGGTAAGCGATGGCAAGAAAAAAAACCTTAATCTCTGTGTAGTACGACTGCTATTGGGATAAACATCTAATACCTTTGGATTGGAATAATCGACTTAGAAAGCGTTGTTACGTAGTGTGTCAACGAATAGTTGAATAGAATTGGTTTGAATTCGTAAATAAATTATCGAAATCACGACATTTAATAATTAATTCGTTGTCATTGTACCCAAGCGGTCAAAAAACAATTAAGCATGTATGAAATAAGATGAAGAGTATGTACTATACCAAATCAGGCATTAACTATCCTAAACATTGGCCTCCCTCATAAATGCAGTTTTGCTAGTAGGTGCCACGTTTGGCAGGCGGGTTAGCAAACGCAGTTAGGCTTTGGTGATCTTTTAATAGGGTCTCTGCTGTCTTTCTTTCCACCGTTAAGTTGCCTTAGTCACTTAGTGTTTTACGACACACACCGGGGCCAACGCAGTAAAAGTTTACGCAATAAAACAATCCATATATGAACTCATAAATTGGTTAGTTGTTAGTTTAATTAATTCTAAGTTCGCAAATGGTACGAAAATTCATTTCATAATCTTGAATATGGGAAGCGATTATTACTCGTATATTTCAATTTACGAAAAGACCTACGAAGATACTTGAAATTTTTCTTATGTAATTAGACATTTCTTAGGAAATGATTATTAGGCGACTTTAAAAATATGGAATGAAGATTAACATTCGTGTTAAATACGCGATGATATGTTTGTTCTTTTTGAACCAATTTTTGTTTATTCTTTTTGCAATCGATATAATTCATTCCCGTGTTTCAGCTTATTTTTCTGTTACGATTCGTTGTTTTTTTTTTTCTATGAACAAAAATCAGTGAAATTTAAGTCTGTTATCAAATATATACTTTGGACATGGACCGTTCGACATAAGTTCATGTTTCTCTTATATGATACATACAAAATATTGTAACAAATAGAGGTCGACAACCTATTTCACATCGCCTACGCAGCAGGAAGCAATCAAGTGGAGAGCTCCAGAGATAACCTGTGACCGCCTTGGGACAATCGCTTGCGACATCGCCTTTGTATGTTTAATGCTAGGAATGGCGACAAATTTCTTTATACATATATGTATATTATAGGTTGCATTCGGAGCGGTATGTAAAATTAATAAACTACACATGCAACAGAACATAATTAGACAGAAATTTCGTGAGACAAAAATTCAAAAAAGAATTGAGTCTAGATATCAATTCTTGTTTCTATTTTTTAGATGGTTCTTTGTATTTCAAGAAGTATTAAACTGAGCAGTGATAGTTATGTCGGAATACCCTAAACTCCCAGACTATAGAGTCCGGGAGTCCTACACAATTCACCTGTGAATTTTTCAAATTCATGTAAAAAAATCATTGTTACTTGCTTTGTAAAGTGATCACCTAGAGAGGCACGCCAGCGGAATTTCAGAATAGTTTTCATGTACAACGAAGAAACTATTGACATGAGAGGGCGCCACCCTCACATGAATAGTAGTATAAAATATCTTTTTAATTACAATGTAACACTCTCACCTGTGCTTGTTTAAGGCGATGCTCCGTCCGATGAACAGCCAACAGCGGCGTGACGCGTACAAGGAGCCGCCACCACGGCCAGTCGCGTACCGCGAGGAAAGCGCGGACGTTCCTTTGCACGCATCTCGCCGCCGTGTGCTGCGTGCGTAGTCGCTGAGCGCGCCGCCTGGCCAGCAGCCCGCGTGCGCGCGCCTGCAAGCGCACGAGCACGCGGGCGAGCGCGGCGTCGCGGCGCGCGTCCAGCCCGCCCACGACGCCGCCGCGGAACATAATCTGTAACGAACAATATTCATATGTGAGGATTGGGCAATCTTCTTGCACATGTAAAATGTTTAAAAACTTTGCAAACTACTAAAAAAGATGGAATATCTTAATTCGCTAGTATTTTTCTTGGTCGTATTACTAATTCCTACACAGAGAAAAATAATTAACGATGATTATGCGATATCTGTATATGAATATTCTGTACCGATTTCGATAATTATTTTTGTAATTGCTAGTATTTACTCCGGTGAAATCACAATGAAGGTGAAAAATGAGTATACGACCTGCCTGATAGTAAACGACTAATAAAAATAATTCAATTATAATTTTATGGTATCATAATCTAAGATTACCAGCTTTAGTATTATTTAATACTGAATGTTTATTTTATTTCAGAAACAAGGAAAAATCAAACACCTGAATTTCGATATTACAAATTAACTATAAATAGAGGAAACTATTTGCCAGATCTAATTCTCTGAAGTAAATCAATAATAAACAATATTTTTAACCTAACTACAAAATTTTACAGATTTAATTTTGAATTCTATACACAGCGAACTAAATACTTATCTTCATACAATAAGAAATTGGTTAAAAATCATCTGAATTTCATAATCGCAATTTACCAACAATAGAAAGTGGAAGCAATGAGATTGTTGCACACTGCACAATAGGCCATCGTCCATTATCATTGTGCTATAGTAACACAAACTACCCATTTTCATCCACAATAAATATCTATTCGCACTATTGACGTACAGGTTGCGTTGTGACGTGGAACGTGTAATAAAGAAAGTAACGTGATTTATGTAACGAATACCAGTCATTATTTTCAATACACCAAGTTGGAAATAAGTGAAATCTAATTAATTTGCATATTTTATATAAAAAAAATCTATTAGCCGTGTAGTCCCGGTATAGCATAGGGAACCCCTCCCTTTCCCGTAGGTGTCGGAAGAGGCGACTAAGGGAGGGCGAAGAGGCAGTAGCGTCTCTCTTAAAAGATCTCTAAAGCCTAACTGCGGTTGATAATTCGTCTGCTAAGCATGGCAACTATTGGCATTACTATTCCCAAGGGGAAGGCTTATGTTCAGCAGTGGTCAGTTAAAGGCTGATATGATGATAAAAGAAAGATCATATGAAATTACACGAATTTAGCACACTTCTCGTATTCTACCAGAGAAAATAAAGACTTTTTCTAAAGAAATATGGGTCAAAATACGACAAGAAAATTTTAGTCTTCCATACTATCTTGACACGTGGACATTTTTTAAATATATTCTTTAATGAACTTGTAAATTACATAGATAATAATATTGCATTTATAAATATTGTGAGCAAGGGTAAGCTTATCTCTGACTTTCAGATCTCTTTCAAACATCTCAATACAGTGAAAAAGTATGTAGTTATTTTTTGTCGTTTTTTAACCCAAACTCGAAAAAAAAAATTTTTCGCTGTAAGAAGCAATAATTAACCCCCTTATTCATAAAAACTAAAACAAATCAATTTTAACTATTATACTGTTTTATTACTTTTTTTTTATAAATTGGATTTAGAGTAAAAGAAAGAGAAAAAATAGTTCAATAACTGAAATAGGTTTATGATTTAACATTTTTATGAACAAGAGGGTTACATTTTATAATAGTGACACAATTTTTATCAACAGCAAGGATATAATAAAATTAGAGAAATAAGGTGAACTATCAACATTGCAAACAAATTCTATGAGGTTTTTTTTATTTATATAGGTATTACTTATAAAACAGCCCTGTAGATAAAGCGCTACTTAGTTTCAAACTAAGCATTTACTTAATATTCGTAGTAAATAAAAAAGTTTTTATAAATTATGTAGATACGTAAAATACAGACACTTGGTGGTACTCAAGTGTGGTAACCACTGTGCCGTTAGTAGTAATTTTACAATTTAATACGATCCACAGATTAGGTATTAAATTTATCGATTATGGGTAAGCATAATCTAACATGAAGAGGTAATTTAGGTTACGTGTTAATACTTCTGGCCACTGTTGCACAATACTCGTTCTGTTTGTTTGTTACTCAACTATGATAGCAATGCGCTCATCCAAACTGAGACAATGCATGGTTGGATATAATAACATGTGTAGAATGTTTAATAGGCGCTTATAACTACGTGTTCCATGTAATTATGTATATAGTCCCTTTACGATTACACCCACACATTCAAATACGAGCATAAACTATACTCAACTCGTGGGAATAAGCAGCAGAGTAGAAAAACAAAGAAAAACAGTTTTAAGAATAGCACTTTTAGGGTAAATTTAAAAAGAGAATAGTATTCTCAATTTGAATATATTTACAATTGAAATGTATCTGCAATTTGAATGTTTCTAAATTATATGTTAGGGAATTTTAGTTATACTGTAGAGCGGAATCGAAATTTAAAATTTTTAAAAAAAGATCGTCTAAAAATGTTTAAATTTAAATTTACCTAATTAAAAATAGTTTCATTCTTACTTTCTATCTTGGTAAGTGAGTGCTCTACCAAGAAAACTGATTATTTGTATCAAAGAAACATGTGTCAAAAAAACGAGATAAAGATTTGAAGCTCTTATAATAATACGGCGCAGTTATTCAATTAATAAGGAGAACTCAACATTTTTCGTCATTTATGCATTATTCATTTATGTATACTCTGTATACTCTGTTATGTCCATGAAACTGCTCATGTCTATAGGCGACGGTTACCACTTTCCATCAGGTGGGCCGTCAGCTTGTTTGCATTTCTAAGTCGTATAAAAAAAATTTAACGTTTTTTTTCCCACATATTTTACAGTATAGACAAATCTTTATTTATGGGTACGACTAATAACTTCGATATAATTCTGTAAGTATAGTAACATGACACAATTATTGAGACATCTCTCAAGAGGTTTCAACAGACAAATTCAATAGCTTCTCAATAGCTTACAATTTCATATCCATATACGAGGTCTGTCCGGAAAGTTCGTATAAAAGTGTTCTGGAATGCGAGAAAGAGGAGTGGGGAGGCCAGGTAAGCGCAGGACCCCTTCCTTATGTCCCTAACAATGCTTCAGTTCTGGTCTGACCGCCGTGCGGTGCGAACTGGCTTGTCACGCCATCTGTGAAGTTACCTCTTAACGAAACCCCGTCGGCATGGAGCCCGCTTCCGTTGAAGAGCAGCGCGTCGTAATCAAGTTTCTCTCGAAACTCGGCAAGAATGGCCGTGAAAGCAAAGAGTGGAAGACATCCGGGGAACCACGAACAAAAAAATCAAGAAAATCCCGCTCAAATGTCAAGACAATGTTGATTGTTTTTTTCGATGTTCGGGGGATTGTCCATCAAGAATTCGTCCCTCCAGGCCAGACAGTTGATGGAAAATTCTACGTCGATGTGCTCAGATGCCTCAAAGCTCGTGTGGCACGAGTTCGTCCAGAATTGGCGCGAGAGGGGCGTTGGATTCTTCACCACGACAATGCCCCTGCCCACACCTCTCTTGTTGTCCGTGAGTTTTTGAGTAAAAATTCCATTACGGTGACCGAACACCCCCCTATTCGCCGGATTTGGCCCCGTGTGACTTCTTCTTGTTCCCCAAAACCAAATTGGTACTTCGGGGGCGGCATTTGGGGGACATAAATGAGATAAAAAAAGCTACGACGGGGCAGCTGAGAAACCTACAACCAGAGGACTTTCAAGGAGCCTTCTCACAGTGGAAACGGCGTTGGCACAAGTGCATTATGTCACAGGGGGAGTACTTTGAAGGGGATAAAATTGATTTACCTGAATAATTGTAAAATAAAATTTTTAAAAAACTTTTATACGTACTTTCCGGACAAACCTCGTATGACTTGGTACACAACAAAACTTCGACCGTAATATCCAACATTGTCCGACCACGCTAACCTGCATTGTGACGTCGAGTATAACAGTTCACAATAGTGTCCTACTTACCGTGATCAGGTTATAATACAACCTGACGCATAACGCAACAAATGCTAGTATGTCGCGCTCCATTGATCACACAGGCGACCGGATTGATATTGTAATTTACTGCATCTTTAGTGGGAAGTGACACTGTTTATAGGAGATCAGTCAGTCAATAATAATGTAGAAGAGGAAAAGTTTTTGTTGTTGGAGGATGATAATAGAATGGTGATCCTGTCAGCGCTATAGGCATGCAAAGGTGTGATACCAGAGTGATGATGGATATGAATAAAGCCAGATCAGTTTTTCTGGTGAATTTATTAGGAAATAATCACGATGGTTTCAATGAAGGACCGCATATAGATCGAACTGCTTCCTATCAACACCTATCCACTTTTTCTTATTGTAATAAAACTTTCCTATCTGTCAAATTAGACCAAATAATACACTATAGCTAAATTTCATTAAATTTTTTATATTTTTAAAGATTACCGTGACCAAACATTCATGTGATTTTTATTTATTGCTTATTAATATTTTATGTAAATGTATTTTAGGGAAATAAATATGAATGATCATTAATTCATTACTAGTCATTAATAATTTTAACGAGATTCAAGTTGTTGTTTCTTTTGCGGAGGAAATTCTTCTCATGTCATATAAAAAAAAATATTATCATTCACACAATTATAAATACAAATATAGTGCAGTAAAATATACCGGGATCGGAACAGTAAGCTGCAGTTATCCGGCGCAAGCGCAATTAGAGCGTACCGTTTGTGAGATCACGACGAAGATGCACGTGTTGTCGTGACTAAACGGCACTAATGCTTCATTGATAAATAAATATTTGTTTGTATTCAGACGAGATGGAAATTAATAAATAATTGCTAAAGTAATAATCATACCGGTTACTATTTTTGATTAGTATGAATATGCTTGAAATTTTACTTCTGATTTTAGATTAAGGGATTTCATAATCAAAGTACGAAGCTATTAATTGAAGTATTTACTTAGATTTATTTATTAGGTACTTAAAATGTATATAAACAATGTCTTAAAATGTAACTGTTTAAACGATT